CGGTTCAATCCCCCAGCACCACATGCCAGCCAGCCCCGCCCCCTGGTGGGCTGAGCTGGCCACACACACACACACACACACACAAATAAAATTTTAAAAAACAATAAAATAAAAATAAAAAAATAATAATAAAATGCTGATAAAATTCTATAAGCAGCAGTGGGAATAAAAGCGTGATTAGGAAATTCCCTGGAAAAAAATTTAAATACTTTAGTTCATATGTAATACAACTTAGGTTAGAATGAAAATTTTTCTTAGGGCATGCTGCTTTTGCAACAAAACTGTTTTTCTAACACACTATGTAATAATCCTATTCAAAATTGTTTTTCACAGGGCAAGCATTTTACTTGCTTTATTAATACTCAAACGTTTCACTAAAGCGTCTCAAACACCTCTTTTAATCTTCAAATCATTCCTTTCAATGCCTGTAAGTCAGTCATCTACCAAGGTCATTCTCCACATATCTTTAGTCTGGGGGCCACTTCAGCATTCAGAAATCTCACGGGGACCTTAAAACAAAGAATCAGACAGCATATATGCATATGCGAAATGAAGCGGGGATTACTGATTGGAGATTAATTTTCTAAATAGCATATTAGTGAATATTGTGGTACAAAATTTGTCCTGTAACCTCATAACTGTAGAGACCCAGATGACGACTTCACAGCTAAGGTTTGTGTATAATCACAAAGGCGATACATCTTCATGTGACTAACTTAAGGTACTTGAGAAACATCTTCAGAGGAACCACATTTATAGATAGTTTTAAATGGAATATAAGCCGGGGAGACAGCTCAGCGGGTTAAGTGCCTGCCTGGCAAGAGCAAGGTCCTAAACACACACACACACACACACACACACACACACACACCCCAAAAAATTCTTAAATGGAATGTAATACTGTACCAGGGTGGTAAGGGAGTTCTTTTTCATGTAGAGTCTCTCCAAGTACTGCAGGGCTTCACCTTTCAGTATCTCCAGCGGGAAATGGTGGAGGTTCTTATAGTTTAAGAACAAATTCTTATGCTTTTCAAGCCTTGCCACAGAAATTGCCCTGCGAAGTTCGGAAGCCATGACTGAACAGACCCCGTCAGGCATGCTGGAGCGCCTCGTGGGACCAAACCTGGTCCATTTCTGTAAAGAGAGTAACAAAAATCTATCACTATAAGACTTCTCACAAGCAGTGACAATAGCCCTGTACAGAGCGACATATATTCAGACACTGAAAACATAGTTTTACATTGTCTCCTGTATTTTTTCACTTATGACAACTAAAATTATCACATATACTTAGGAGGCTAAAATAAACAACAGAAATACTTGGATTAAGCTACGTGTACTACTTATCAGAAAGAGTCCTAGGAGGCCAGGGAGAAGGCTCAGTAGAATAAGCGCTTGCCTGGCAAGCACAAGAGCCTGAGTTCAATCCCCCATTCTGCAAAAAAAAGAAAGAAAGAAAGAGTCCTCATGGAAAAATACTTTTTAGACTTGAGGTAGGAATTCCTTGCCCAGGAGAACAGAGACAAATTGTACACCATACAACCAAAAGGAAACGCTTGTAAGTCAAAGGCACTAAAAGCACGCTTTAAATTGTCTTATTTTATATTTAAAGTTATTAAAAATATCAAAACAAGTTTATTTCTATTTAGATTACTAACAGTTTAGTTCCCTTTACTTCCTAACAACTAAACTCTGTCCTATATTCCAACTTCAATTTATCTTTTCTTTCCTTTTAAGCTTCGCAGATTATCACAAATACCAAGGCCCAAGATCACCTAGTTTTATTATTTCAAATTATTCCAATCAAAAAAAAAAAAAAAAAAAAACACTGCCTTCAGAAACCATCACCCTGCATTAGTCCATTTCAATCCCTCTGTGTCTAGGTTGCCTGAGACATAAAATGGATTCATCAATCAACATATAAATGGAAAAGGCTGAGTCCAGTATAAATTATTTCAGATTTTCTTCTAATCACAAAATTGGGAAGGCCAGGAAGAAAAGTAACATTTGACATTTTACCCGCTAGACACAGAGCTAAAACAAATTACACCATTACTTAACACAAAAAGAATCAGGCTTCAGGCTTCCTTAATTTGCCTCTGTGGAGCAGCTCAAAAGAGATTAAAAGCACAGGTTTGACACCAAGCCCGAGGGCTTTCAGAGTGTGGGCTCTTACGAGATTCCACAAGATACTGAGGAAATGTTAAAACAACTACAAAGTGAAGCTTTCCTCAAAGATTCTAATCTGTTTCCTGGGCATCTTTCCAAAACTCCCTGGGGTTGGGGGGCGGTGGAGAAAAAGTACAGTACTTTTTAAAGAACCTTTTTTCCTTAGGAAAACAATTTTCACTCTGAGTTAATGCCAAAACCTTCAACTAGCAGTTTTGCAACTTTCTGATAGTTTCTATAATTTCTAAACTCTAATTTCTACCTAGTCAGGCAGGCCTTTTCCAATTCATGTAAAAAAGATTTAACACAAAATGTCCAATAATATTCTTAATGCAATATAATCATCCAGTATTTTACCATATCTCTTCCACCTACTCACTTGATGAAGCACACTATGAGGCATATTATGTGACATCACTTGACATATTGTCTCTCTAAAACTAAGAGGAACTAGAAAACTTCAATCTGTGTAGAGTGAAGCTTTCTAGATAATTATTCACTGAAGGAGTAAACTGGAAGCAGTTTCCATGATTCACAAGCATAGCTAATTTAATACATCCGCAGGGCGACAGTGGTTTTCATGGCTGATCTGTCCCCATTCTCAGTACAGGGTGGGGGGACACTTTGGCCAAACCAGCTCAGGCCAGAAATCTGGAAGTCACGGACAGGTCCACCCTCTCATTCATCCACATCTCCCACCTACCAGAAGGCCAGCAGTCTCCATTTCCAAAATACATCTCAGTCCCACTTGCATCTCTCTATTTGCCAAGACCACAGCCACTATCATCTGCCGGGGCCAAGCGTATTATGGGTCCCCTCTGTGCCCCTTCCCACCCGCTGCTGACTCAGCCGGGATCCTTTGAAAGCACACATCCAAAGCCCTCACACAAAGTTTCTTATTCAGAAAGTCAAATTCTCACCATCAGGCTGGACCTACCTCTCCAGTCTCACCTGGGGCACTGTCCCTGGCTTTCCACCAGGGAGCAGTTGCCACTTTTCCTGAGCCCTTTGCACTTGCTGCTCTTTGCCATGGAAACCACTGTCCCATCCTCCTTTAGGTTTCAGGGTAGAAACCACTTCCTTATCTTATTATCCTGGTATTCTTTCAGAGCAAGCCATTTGTGTGATTTTCTTCACAGGAGTCTGCACTATTTGTAATTTGTATATTTAAGGGTGTGCTTGTTTACTGTCAGTCTAGCCAAGAACCTGTGAAACCCCCCTTGCATGGAGCACAGTGTTCAAAGTAAGCCTTCAGGTTGTAAGTGGTGCACGCCTATAATCAATCCCAGCTGTCTGGGAGGCTGAGGCAGGAAGATTCAAGTTCAAACCCAGTGCAGGCAACTGAGACTGCATCTTAAAATAAAACAAAATTAACAATGGGCTGGGAAAGGAGCTCAGCAGAAGGCTCTGGGTTCAATACTCGGTAAGGAGTCGGGACTTCGAACAGCCAATGAAGAGAGGAAGAAATTAGAAACTAGGAGGTTGAATTCTATTTACCCCTGTCAAGAACACGAACTTGGTCCTGTACTAACCATCTCCGGTCCTCAGAATCATGCACTGCAATGGGTGCTGAGTGCATTTTATGCACGAGTTTCTCAGAAGGTAACTGCAGAATTCCAACGCAAGTGGCCTCGCAGCAAAGCCTGCATGCCACCCTACGTAGTCCGTCACGCACATCAACGTAGCCAAAGCGTTTTCCTCTCACCACGTACGTGGTAGACATAGCTTATAAACATGGAAAGACTGTGCTCTATAAATAAAACTATAACCAAAACCCACACTCACTGATGGGAGATTCAATAAGATAATTCACTCTAACCTGCCAGCTTTCTTTCTGAGTGCTGGGGCTGGTGTTGGTGGTCTCCAAACATTACACCTTGTTAAACCGATACAACCACTGGGAGAGACATCAATACAAATGACAGCCCCTGTTGCAACGCATCTTGCTAGAAAAATACACTGAGATTAAAATTCAAACAAATGAAATCAATAATGCCAATAATCACACTCATTGTCTTCTGCTTCCTTCGCAAGGGACAGCATTTCACGGGATCATTTTCTTCCCCAGTCCAGTCCCCTACACTACCTCGTGCCTATAGTTAAAGCAATCAGAGTAGACCGCTGCACCTCCACACGAGTTTCTGATGAGTGAACACCGATCTTACTTTTTAAAAACTCACATTTTAAGAACATTTCGAACATTAGGAGTGTTTTATAGGAAGAGTCCCTGCAGAGACGACATGCCCACCTCAACTTCCTAACTTGGGCGATGAAAGGATGTTATAAACTATTCGTTGAAAGCATTCGTAGCAAGCTAATCTCGGTGCTCGAGAACGCTAGAAGTCTCCAGCAAACACTCGAGCTTCCAGGCTGCGAGGTCGTTGCGTGTGGAAGCTGCGAGCCCGGGCAGGGTTCACCGGCCAGGGGTTCCCGGGACGCGGGGCGAGGGGCCGCGCAGGGCGAGGCCGGACAGCCTGGGCTCCCTCCCACTTGCCGCGGCCCGGCGCTTTCAGGGATGTGGAGGTCCCCCTCGCGGACCGGGCCGGGGAAACGTGACACGCAACCCTCCCGACGCCGCGGCGGCAGCGGCAGCACTCACCTCAGCGCCGGGCCAGCCAGCGCTCCGGAGCGCAGCCGGCGGTGGAAAACCAGCCCTGAGCGTCGGGCGGGGCGGGTGGGGCGCAGCGCGGGGGCGGGGCTGGGGGCGGGGCGGAACTCGCGCTGCCGGGAGTTGGGACAACCGGACCTGGCCGCGGCGGATGGAACCTCGCGATAATTCGCCTTAGTTCCCGCGGTTGCACGATTGGTGGGACTGGAGTTTCGTTTTTCCCAGTGATGCTCCTATTGGCTGAAAGAATGTTCCTCTAGGCTAGCTCCACCCACTCATCTGCCCTTGCTTCCGGCTTGGATTCCGGGCTGGTTGTCTAAGAGAGTGGCTGTTTGCTTAGCTTCGCGGAGGGGTACATCAGCCGGCCCCAACCTCAGGAGCCTTCAGTAACTAATCTGTTCATTCATTCACATATTCTGTCACGCGCTCGAGCGCTCGTTCTAGTCATACGTTGAGAGACGACCGTGGTAACACTCGATGTTGCCCACAGCCCCGAGACACTGAGACCGTCGCTATAACCGGCCGACAGATTCAAACCTGAGGCTGGTCTTCTCTGTGAGGCGGTTGAGGTCGGTCTGCAAACCGTGAGGCTGAGCGCTGGATGCAGGCTCCCGCCCAGGCACACCGCTAAGTTCCAAACACGGGGATCGCTGAAACAGTTACTAAGAAGATCAGTAACAATTTAGAAAGCTAAATACGATGGCAGTTCCTAACCGGCTAAGTAGGCTGTCAGGTGTTCAAGATGAAAATTCCTTTCTCAGCGGAGACTTCAAAGACGGGGGCTTTCATCCTGGTGGGGAGGATCCTAGCGCTGTACAGGAACACTTTAAAATCCTGTTTATGTTTTCTTTTAATCGTCCTCTAAAACTTAATTCTTTGTCTTTTGAAAAATCATGTCTAATTTGCTAGAGGCTTATAGTTGCTTATAAATTAAGTCACCTTAAAATTGCAACAAGCTAGTTTTATGTTGGCTTACTTTTAGAAAGGAATAAACTAGAAGGCTGAGGTATATTAAGTGAAAACGCCAATTCCAAAATAAAGTATTAGTTAAAATAAAGTATCAATTATATCTGCTCTCCAGGAGTTAACTGAAATGTGGCATAGTATAGGTCCTACATTTCTAAGACCTTTTATAGTTTCATAGTACCGTAAACATTTTGAGGTACTTAAAATAAGAAAACCTACAGTTTGTGTAAAATAAAAAGTGCTTAGCATATGAAGGCTCACCCCCAAAGCTAACACCTGTAGCTAATATTCGAAGAGTAAAAAAAGACAACAAAAACCGAATTTTTTAAACAAAAGTCAAGTTTCTTAGCTTTCATTTTCTTTTTAAACGAGAAATATTGGTCTCTAGTGCATTAATACCTGCTATATCATAAAAAAAAATCATGTAGAAATATTTTACACCCTCCTCAAATTGACTAAGTTGCCCAGTGATTGTATATAATAATATTCTGGGACCATTCTTGGAAGTTCCCTGAAGTTGTTGTCGCTACATATTTTGGCCTCAAAACAATGAGGGACTCTTCTAATTTATAATGATAATTTTACACTCTTTGACAAGAATTAATACCAACAGGCGGTGATGCCACTTTAAGAAAATTCCAAAGGGGAAAAAACCAACCCTTTTTAAAATTCCCACCTCTAGCTCCCAAGGATTGGGTTACAAACTTAGACAAAATACTCTTCTCCACTCCCTATTGGTGAATGCTCTATCATTCATTCTTCAGCCCAGAGTTTTGTGAGGTACCGGAATGCTTTATGGGAAAAGGCTGTTGTAACTTAGTCTGGAACTGCGGTACTTCAGACTTTTTTTATGGTTATCAATCTACACAAAGAATCTCCAAATTGATACCAACAGGCAGATCAATCGATCAAGACGGTGATTCGCTTGAAAAAGAAATGGAGACTCTCAAGCTGACTGGGTAAAGTGACAAAGGATTTTACAACATAGTTTGCGATTTAGAGAGTTGAAAGAAACTTCCAGGTTTGGCTAGTTTCAAAGGAGTGTCGGAGGAAAAGCAAAGAAAACAGGCACAGGAGGCAGGATGAAGCGTTTTGTTATTGTTGCATAAATATGGACTTAGGTAATATTGTGATTTTTAAATGAAATGAATTGTTGTTTGTAGACTGTATCTGGACACATAAAAAATCCAGCTATTAAAGACGTGGGAAAGCTAGAATTGACTTTAGAGCCGAACTTTGTATACATTTGTAGATAAGGAATTCCCGAAACGGTTGTTCCTGTGGCCAAGTAAGAGGGTATTGGTATGTGAAGCAAAATCAGCAGACAGCTTATGCGGGATACACCCCCTCCCCCAAAAGAAGCCTAAGTGCTTATTCCTTCAAGTATAATATTTCTTATTAAAACTAAACAATCACAGCTCAGGAAAACACTTGTGCTGATAAACAAGAACAGCTATTTTTCGAGCGGTGGTTGTTAGCTTCTATATGGGGATGTAGCGTAGCGTACAATTCTTCCAAAGTTCGTTTTATAACTCTAGACGTATGAGGCTCAGAACTTTGAAATTAAAACTCGAGGGCTTTTCACACTGCCCAGATGACTTTTAGAAGCCGTGGATACGTCAGCGGCTCAGCTGTGTGTGAGCTGAGTTACTGAGACCTTCACAGTAGGGTAGCAGTTGCCAAGGGAGCGCCAGTCTGTGAGCACCTAGGTGCAGGCGACCTAAAGGAGGGGTTGACTCTGACCTCAGCAGGAAGCTTCTTCAGGAACCTTGGTTAAAATAATAATTTTTTTAAATATTAAGCCAATCTAATATTTGGCATTTTTTGGAGGGTGGGGCGCGTTGAACTCAGGCCCTTGTGCTTGCTAGGTGAGCACTCTACCACTGAGCTATATATCCCCGGCCCTTAATGATAATATTTTTAAAAGCAATGAGAAGTTTCATAAAGAGCTAAGGCGGCCAGAATTAAGGACTTCGGAAGTGCGTTTTCAATAGGAGCGATACCATCAAAGAGGTGTATTAGAAGATGATAAGAGGCCGGGAATGTAGCTCAGCGGCATAAGCGCCTGCCTGGCAAGCAGGAGGTCCTGAGTTCGATTCCTAATGCTGAGAAAAATTTTTTAAAAAATGGTAAAATGGCAGTGTAATTTAAGAACCAAGGGCAGAGGCCAAAAGCTCAGGAGCGCAGTAATATAAATATTGGCGTATAGATTGGTAATCAAGCCTCTGAAGACATTTTATCCAAGGAGCTTTACTGCTGCTGAGTGACATAAACATTGCTGCATTTCTTTAGTCTTTGAGGTTAGCCTAGCAGTACAAATATGCATTTTGTACAGAGCGAATGTGATACGGTTACGATAGTAAAGGTGATTTTGTTCTGGCCAAGTTGGTTCTTTCTCCTTTTCTCTCAAAATTAAAGTATGTTCTCCTGATTCTGCTGAGCTGAAGTGTAGGAATTTCCGCTGCAAGCCTTATCATTGACAGATTATCAGGAGATGCATTTTTATTTGGACGGTAAGTTTTCATCTGAGCTGTCCCTGAGCCAAAACACAATTCCTGCAATGCTCAGGAAGCTGCTGAAATGTACCAGACGTGCTGCGCAGGTCTGGGAAAGCAAAGGCCAATCACGGACAGTCTCCCGGAAGAACAGCAAAGGGCTTCGGGGGTGCCGCAGAGGGTCTTTGTCTTATCTTTGTTTTTGTACAAAACTTACTTAAAAGAATCAAAATCATCTACCCTCGGGTGTCCATCTGTGGTTTCTAAGTAGGTAGGGGGAGAAGGAGAAGTCTTTAGTTCCGAGACAAGTTTCCCATACTGCAGTAGATGGGTGTGGCGGGCAGCGTTACTCCCCCAAAGCTATGAAGGTGGGCGCTTGGGTAGCCCAGTCCGCTTGGAGTCATGGAAGCAAAGGAAATGCAGTGAAATGAAAGTGGCTTGTGTCACATCTGGGCAATGGCGTTAAAAGGCCTTATTCTCGCCTTTCCAGTCTTTCTCATTCTGCATGCCTGCCGTAGATTAGTTGAGCCCCACCCCCCAACTCCCTCCCCCAGGCCGTCCCTCATCTCAGTAAGGTGCAGCATCGTGGAGTTACTTGTTGCAGCTGACCCAATCCTGACTTAGCCCCTGGAGATTTGGGCATTGTATTTAATTTTTTTAATTAAGAAAAATTTAATCAGTTGAGTTTCAGGTAGCAGGTGGAGAAGGTATTTAGGGAGAAAAATCTTACTCTAAGGATGGGTTCATTGTTCACCTAGCAAGCATTCTTGGAACCTAGTTAGGTACTGGACGCTGAATGCTGAGTGCAGCAAGAATATGTACTTCAGTGTGATTTGGAAGATTTGCGGGGCACCTCCCATAGCGTCTTTCCGGTGAAAGTCTTGTAGTTGCATGACCTGTAAGGGCCAGAGTTATACATAAAACTGTATTGTGGTTTCATGGCTATTTTTTATTTATTCATTTTTTAAATTAGTACCTATACGCAGTGCATAATGTTTGTATTTCTTGTGTGGAGCTGGTACATGTATGTGACATACCTTAATTCCTTCCCTCACTCCCTTTCTTTCCCTTGTTCCTCCATCCGCCCGTTGTAATGGGGTAACTGAATTTTGTGCTTTAACTGTGGGAAATTATTAGCAGAAACCTTGTGCTTCCTGTTATCTAAGGAATGAGTTTTCACTCCCTGCTCAAGGCTGTTTAGCAGTAAATATCTGTTTCTTGTCAACCATCTCCTGTAAAAACATAGTCAGCTTAAGTTGTACTTATAAAAATATGTGCGTATCACTAAACTGTAAAAGACCCTTTAGTGACAAACAGTTTGCAGCTGTGTCAAATGAATGTAGTTTTCTGTTATTCTGTGCTAGGTAACATAGTCTCTTACCAAATTGGATGTGATTTCTGTTATAAATGCGTCCCTGCTACTATGTTCAATTGCCGATCAGTCTTCTCCTGTGTGAGAAATGGCTGATAGACCTGAGCTCAGTAAATAAAGGCTCTACTCGAATTTTAATTTGATCTTTGATCTGGTTCCTATGCCGAGTGACCCACAAACACTGTCTTTTGATCTCCTTCCTTTAATATTTAGTAAAGTTATAGACTACAACTTCACTTGTTTTAAGAATACAGCTAATGGTTATTTTTGAAAATTTAGTCATAAAACCATCATCGCATTCCAATTTTTAAAACTCTACATCATCCTGAAAAGATACCTTGTCCCCACCTACAGACTGCTCCTTTTGATAGCCACAGCCCCAGAAAAATCACTTACAAACTTTCCGCTTCTGTAGATTTGCCATCACTGAGCATTTCACAGTCAGTGGAATCCCACAGTAGGTGTATGGTCCTTGACCTCTGGCTTCTTGCACTTAGCATTATGTTGTTGACGTTTACTCATATTGCATTGTATTATCACTTCTTTCAAATAATAATCCACTGCATGGCAGTGACACATTTTATCATTCACCTGTTGACAGTTGGATTGCCTTCAGTCTTTAGCTATTATGACTAAAGCAGCTATAAAGATGTATGTTAAATTTGTTTTTTGGTGAAACTGGGGATTGAACTCAGGCCCTTGCGCTTGCCAGGGAAGCGCTTATTCCACTGAGCCATCTCCCCCCAGCCCTGAAATGGTATCTTACTGTAGTTTTGATTTGTATTTTGCTAGTGGTTAATAATGTTGAGCATCTTTTCATGTTTATTGACCATGTTTGTATATACCTTCTTTATCATATGTCAATTCAAATGTTTTGCTTTTTTTATGGATTTAGTACAGGGTCTCCAGGGTCTTACTATATAGATCAGACTGTAGTGATCCTCCTGTTTTCAGCCTCCCAAGCACTGAGGTTAACAAGTGCATGCCACCATGCGCAGTAGTCTCAGTCGCCATCTCAAAGAGCCCTGGGGGCGGGGCAGGTAAGGCATGTCAGGGATCGAACCCGGGTCCCTGCATCTGCCTAAGCAGGCACTTTAATCTGCTGAACTATCTGGCTGGCCCTTATTTTGCATATTTTTAATTTGGTTATTTTCATTTTATGAGGAGTTGCAGATATTCTTGATATGTTCTGAATAAAAGCCCTTTATCAGATATATGCTTTGAAAACTTTTTCTGTGTAGATTGTCTTTTAACTTAAGTAAGGGTGTCCTTTTGATACAGGGAAGAAAAACTGACCTCGGGTGAGTGACCTCCAAATGATACAGGGAACCTTCAAATGACAGGGAAAAATGATCTCCTGACCTGACCTGCTCAAGTTCGTGTTCTCTAAAACAGAAGAATGAATTTTAGGAACAAACGGAAGTTATGAGCAGAATATATTTATTGAGGGAAAGAAAGCTCCTGTGTGAAAGAGGGACTGGAGTGGGGCCCGATCGGGTTGTTCCCCAGAAAGCTGTCTCTTCCAGGGACTTTTATAGTGTAGAAAATGGGAACTCGCTTAGGTGGATGTGGGGTGGGACAAAATTATGGTCAACCAATGGGATTACAAGCACCATTGCTCAGTAAAGTTGATTAGGCCCGGCACCAAATGGGGTCGTGAGTCACTTAACAGGCGGCCGAATGTAAAGCAGGACCTTGTCTGGTGGCCTTCACACAGTGATTCTTCCTGCGTAATGATCAGTCCTGGATGCCAGTCTTTAGGGAGGTTAGCATTTGTTTGGTCTTCAGGTCTAGCTCACAGCAGGAGCAGCGTCCCTCCCACAGCTGTGAGGCGGCTGGTCTTTGTTGTCTCCTTCGAGGGCCTGACCCTGTCTGACTGCCTATAATATTTCTATCTAACTCGGCTGCCTGCAACACTTTGAAGCAAAAAAGTGTTTTAAATTTTTAATTAAGTACAGTTGATCTTTTTTTCTCCTATCGTGCCTTTGTTTGGTATCTAAGAAATCTTTGCCTAACCCAGGCTCGTAAGATTGACTCTGATGTCTGCCAAGGAAGGATTCTACAATAATTTTAGCTCTCACTTTGTCGTGAT